TCTCTGTATGCACGAAAGATTGATCCAGAATACATATCTGAAATATGTTCTATTAGATCAAAGCAGAAACAGAACGAAACAACAATGGCAGAATGAAATTGAACCAACTTAAATTAACTCCAAAATAAATATTACATAGATAAAAATTATATGTTTATTAAAAACAAGTGGTTCAGGATGTTGAAACATTCTTATAATATCGTTGACTGATCTTTGAATCTTCGTATCCACTTCAATCAGACCCTTTGTTGAGTAATGATAAAAGGTAATTCACATCATCAAATCATCACATGTCTTCGGTTCAAGCATTATGAATTGTATCTTCTCTTTGTTGTCTATAGAGGGTGAATGATACTCAAGCTTTACAGCTCTCAGATTTTCTGGATATTGCATGAGAATATTTAGTTTGGTTTTCAGATCGACGAGAAATATGTCCTCGCAGATCCAAAATTGAAGTGGGCGTGTTGTGCCATTGAAATACACAAAAGCAAGATGGAGATATGTAGACATTCTGGTTTTTATAAAGAAAATGGATTGAGAGACCCTCTTTATAAAAGTTGTAGAGTAATAAGGACCTTACATACATGATCATGTCTGTATGATATACTTCGGAGATACAACTTCAAATCTGTCTATTTTTAAAAAAAGGGTATATGGAGACGCAGCTCCGAATGATCCCATGTTTTATTTTTTTAATTAATTAAAGGGTATCTGAGAATTCATTTTCGAATCCATCCAAAAATTATGTATAACAAAACTATGATAATTATGCATACCAGAATTTGAAAAACAAGAAATTTCCAATAAAATATCACCTAATTTTATAATATTATATAGTGTGCTACTTACAAAAACATGTTACATTGTTAGCTTACAACTAAAATGCACCAAAATTTGAGTCACTACCTAAATTTATTGGTGGCCCAATCTTCTACCTTTCCTTATTTACTTCTCGTTTAATGTCGCTCAACTTGGTGAACTCTTCCATCTTTTCAAGAAAGTGATCCAGTCATGTTTCAATATCGTGTGTGAAATGTGTCATCCACTCCGGTGATGTCTTTGGTATAGGACATCCTGGTTTCAAAAAAACTAAACAAAATATTTTTTTTTTTATAGCTAATCAATACACATGATGTGCTCAGATAGATTTTGAGGTTGCTTACTACAAAGTGAAAGGAATGTTTGTGAGAAACCATATCATGTTAAATCAATTCACAACCTATCATAAGCAGTTGATATAAGATGTCTCATTTTTGGAAAACGCGTCCATTTGTAAAATGGATCTAGAGCACTAAGACGAAACAAGAGCATTGAGAATTGTGTCGTAATTTACTTTGTTTTCGTATAGCTTTGTGTATGAATCCTTATGCGTTGTCATCTCTTGTATAAGATAACACTGGAAAGATTGGTGGTCTTCCTCTCCCTTACGAGTAAACTCGAAACAACTTAAAAACTACAGTTGCTATCACTTTCAGCATTTACTATCCGCTCGATGTATCTGTGCATAAAAAGCAACATCTCTTCAATGAATTTGATTTTCGATAACGACAGTGGAGGAGATGGTTTGTTAATGCGTGCATTCTTGAGAACACTTTTTTGGAATTTTGAGTCAGAGAATCTGAAAAATGTTAGTCAACATGCTCAAAATAGGAAGGAGACAGTCTTGTGGAGTTGTCACTTTGAGTCAGTTTTACCTTTTTAGGGGTACCTTTTTTTTAACTTGTTCTGATGGTGGTTTCAAATCTGTTGTTTTAGGATATGCAATATTTCTAAGTTTCTCATTGATATACAATTTCATTATGTCATCAGCTTTCATGAATCTCTCTTGGATCATTTTTCATTCGGTCATGAGAGATATGTTTGACTTATCATCCTTTATCACACCATCATCATCAAAATGGAATCGGGTCCAATGAGTGTAAACTTCGTCCATGCGTATTGGTTTTTCATGTTTCAGTTTCTTTGAAATTAAACAAGCATGTGGAAAACTGTAAGTCTTCTTAAGCGTACATCCACACTTTGAGCTATCAAAACATATTTTATCCGCTCGTTTGACTTCGTGAAATATAAAATTCAACGGCGTCTGAGATACGTTGTCAACCAACTGTGAATATAGGATGTTATCTTTAAATCGGTGTTCTAACACATTAATGTTTCGACCAAAAAATATTTGTATCTCAGTATGTTGGTTTCAGAGCTTTTATCAGTCTAGCATGCACAAATTCAACTATGTTAGTTATTTTATTGCCAAAGTGTCGAACCTGGTCAGTTAATGCGCAACAATCTTCTCTTTAACCTGATCCAGAATCATGCCCACAACATAGTTTAGCAAATTTGGTTATATCGCACTTATACTCTTGAAATGTAGAACATATTCAACATATAATTCTTTAGTGGGAGAATTTATTATACCATTCAATGCATCCATTATCTTTTCCATAACCACACCAGGTTTGACAACTTTACCATTATCACCATTGAGTTGTTTCGTACCAACGACATGTTTTACTCGACTTTTCACATTTTTTATTATGTGATACTTACAAAGTAATACGGAAAAAGTAGGAAACATCGTTATAACCGAATTCATCAGTGCAATGTCGCGATCGGTGATTATGACTTGAGACATGTTTTTTTGGTCCTTCATCACATTCTTGCACATTTCTAAAGCCCATGTAACATTGTCCTCTTTTTCGAATTCCAAAAATACAAAACCGACTGAAAAATTCATCTTCGTAAAAGTGACACCAACAATTTTCAAGAGTGGAAGTCTATACTTATTTTTTTTGTATGTTGATTCAATTATGAGCATGACGGAAAGGTGTTGTTGAACACCTTCATGGAATTGAGATGACTCTAAAATATATCTCGAATTGTGACTTTATCATCACAAATTTTGTACCTCAAAACATAGTCGTCATCTTCTAAAAGCTTCAACAATTGTTGCATCACAGATCTTGGTTCTCTTACCGACTTGTTGTTTCGAGCACGAAAGTTGTATATTTGCTTGATATTTAAAAATTTTAGAGGTCTTTTCTGTTTCAAAGACACGAGTATGTTTTTCAGCGTCACCATGCTTAATGTCATATCCGAAACAAGTTTCCTCTCCTCCAGAGCAAAGCGACATACAATGGGATAACCAGCTAGCTTGTCATCCAAACCATGATTATACATTATAAAAAATCACATTAAATTTTCATGTCTCATCCGTCATACGGTATCCATGCAATTTAAACAGACACTCACATTTCCTCATTCTCGTGCCATCTCTTTTCAACTTCTCAATCTTTGATTGGTATGTGCCACTTTTTTCGCATATCATTGTTACAATTGTTATTCTTCTATCCGAACCATTGTCAGACCCTTCAATTTCAATGCCAAACATCAATTTTTCAACCTGTCTGCGAACCCATTGTAGCATATATTCACAAACAAAAAACACTTATTTATTTGTAAACTGTGCACAAGCATCTATCTCTACAACAACCGATCGAACATCCGATTTAACATTATCATTCGCTTGTTCCGATTGAACATCATCATTCACTTTATCTGATTTAACATCATGCTTCACTTCGATCGATTTAACATCCACACTCACAATAGCTTTAGGAAACATATTCAGGTGCACCATATTTATTACCACCAATAACAGAAAAATAGTGTTAAAATTCAAACTATCAGGACACTGCGGAGATACACATCTGGATCACACCAAACTTCCTCCGAAGATGCATCTCCAGACTCGACATTCATTTTTCAGCTTCAAACTTGAATTAGTGCAAGAAATAAGGGATGAAAAGAATGATCTATACCTGTAATTTCAGCTTGTTTTGCTCCCTTTGAATTGATGAAATACAAGAATGATGTTTTTGTGTTGAAAAGATGATTGAGAATGAGAGAGCTTTTTTCAAGGGTTTTGTAATGGTTTCTTCTTTTAGCGTGTAAAAGAAGCTCATGCAAGATGTTGTTTTATCAACTTTTCTACTGGACATTTCCAGAGATGCATTTCCAAAAAAGTCACTTAGTTATTATTTAAATCAGTTGCATGAATAACAAAGTTCCTTAAATGAGTGCATGGGATATTTCAAAAATGCATCTCTAAATACACTCAAAACAATATACACAAATGCATCTCTAAATTATTTTTTTCAAACTGGAGTAATTTTCAAAAAAAAATAAATTGATGTGATTTTAGGTACATCCAAAGATGCATATCCAGATGTACGAGGATAATTTTTTATTTTCAAGAGTGGGGTATACTCCTGTAAGGGTGAAAGAGCATTTCCCTCTTAGAGAGGGTGGTATTAATAGGAATGTAGAGGATGAACTAGACCCATCTTTAGGCGACAAAGGGACTAGGCCCGGTTTATGGAAGCTCAGTCTCAGGAAACATTACAAGGAGAAGAATGTTGCTGTGCTAGCAGCAGAAAACATGGAATCAAAATGAGGAGTTCGTTATATAATAATAGGGTAGAGAGTGAGAAAGGGGCATCCAAGAATTCTCTGTTATAGAATGAGAACATCATGCGCATCTTCATCTAATTGGTTGATACATCAAATATCTATCAGATTGTTTAGTTGCTAATTCTATAATTGTTTCTATGTCTTAATACAATTTACAGGATTATTCTAATTCTGTGTCACTTCAAAATTGATATTATTACAAGAAATGAAACAGCACTTTTGGCCAAGAAACATAATAATTAGTGTAATAATTTAATAGTAATCAAGTGTTCAGAAGACAATAAACAGAAACTGAAAAGTTCTGATGTTAAAAGATTACTATCATTGGCACTGCTGGCTGCTGAGGGACAATACTCGGCCTGTATCAGTAAAACTAAATAGAGGACTAGTTCAAAATAGTTTGTTTTTGAGGTTTTGATTGCTATATAATTGACACCAATAAATGAAAGAACAGTGACATGAATCCGGAAATTGAAGGTGTTCTGTCACAAACCCAATTCATAACTATTAACTGCCGTGAATGAATTAACCTACTACTCTTCCTGAACTTGGCCATCTGTAAAAGCGGGGAAAGGTTAAACACAGGTACATACAAATGAAAAGGTAGATCATATTAAAGCCGGACAAATATTGAAGATCTCGAAAGCCTCACCAGCAAGATGGACGGCTAAATTTGCTTGAGCATCGGCCTCGGAGTTGAATTCCTTGACAAAGGCAACAGAGTTATTTTTGAAGCACAAGTAAAAGCATCTATGTATATATAAACAAATATTTTTTAAGTAAATGGGAAAGCCATAACACTAAGAAGTTTCAGAAGGCATCACCTCTTCTGAAATTCCAGACACACCAAAAGCAGTAAACTGTACCTACCCTTAGAACATGACTGATCTGAAATGACACAAATTTATCCTTGAGTTCTTTGGCCACCTTATACAATGTAGACAAGCTCTCATTCTTGACTTTCCATGAGCCATCAATCTGTTTCATGCAGTAGTAGCATCGGAATATTGAAGAGAACACAGAGAAAATAATAGTGACAGTATGCTAGAAATGAAAATGAAGTGGATTGGAATATTTTAACTTCAGTCTATCTTTAGAACAGGAACAGCTGATTAGGGTGTTTGAGTTTATTAGATCTGTATACACTTAAAAGCCTCCATTGTAATTATGTAAATATTTGAGATTCTTAGGTGACTTTTTCAAGGGTAATGTGATTCACACTAAATTACTTTTCCCCGATGTAGCATATAAAATGTCATCTTTGTCCCAAATTATAAATCACTTTAGAAAGAAAATTATCCAAAATTATAAGTCACATTACAATTACAATGCAACATTAATGTTTTTTTCCAACTATACCCTCTACTATTTACTATTCTTCCTTCTTCCTTCTTCCAATTCTTTTAGTATCTCTTTTCTATGTAATTAATGAAGAACAATATTGTAAAATCATATATATTTTCTCTTTTCCATACAAAGTTAATTATGTTTAGTAATTCGTGTGAAATGCTCAAAACGTCTTATACATTTGGACGGAGGGAGTATCTATCGGACTATGGTTTGTTCCACTATTGTGCAACTTGTGTTCCCTGTGGTACAAGCTAGAAAAGGTGTTCAAGGTGTTTACATATGTCAGTGCCACCAAGCCACTCACATGCAGCTAGCTGGTGCATAATAGATGGACAAAGAAAATTTCTGGTTAGTGTGATGACGGTATCATGTACGGGAGTTAGTGTCAATCTACACACCACTAGAACACAAGTAATTTCAGGTAAATCGCATTAGAAAGCTGTAATTTATTCTATTCAAAGATGATAAGACAATACAGAGATGTATTGTTGAGCGGCTTTTTAAAGTTTTTCTGATAACTTGATACAACAGAAGACAAATTTGATAATTTAAACCATCTTTGTCATGTTGATCCTACAAGATAAGTCCGCCATTAAAGTAAAAAGTGTCACAACTAACCTACAGTTTTTCTTAATATACTTTAGATTTTAATCTTGGGGTTATCAAAACCAATGAGTGAGTATAACGTCATGGTATTACCATGTTTACAAGATCATAATTTTTGAAGGGTGCAATACAGAGATGGGTTAACGGTAAAGTCTAGGCTGTTAATCATTTCAAGGAGCAAAGTTTTTCCACATTTTGGTTACAAAGAAAGTGGTTAAACCAGGTGAGGGGATGAAGAAAGATTGGGCCGTGCCTCAAAGTGAGTATGAGGACTCAATGCAAGTTTAACTCACGGAATTTAATAGAGCAAAGTATTCTCTTCTATTATGTTTTCCTCATTTCACTCTTAATAAAACCAATGTGTACTTCTTTTTCAACAGCATGTCTAGTTCTGTTTTATTTCAAATTGTACTAATAACACATTATGTCTGACCTAACTCATCTACCAAATGCTACCGAGGGAAATGAAACCTGGCATCAAGTGCTTTCAAAGGATGCTAGGTCCCATAAGGCCATTGGCAAAGAGGCAACGTCTACAAACATTGTGTTGGGTGTGAAGGAGTGGATTTTATATCACATTGCTTAGAGATATGGCATGTGTAATATTTATAAAGCTTGGGCAGCTCTCATCTTACAAGCCGGTTTTGTAAGGTTGAATTAGGCTCAACCCAAATTCTCGAAAATCCAAAATAAGAAAAAGATTTATAAGATGCAAGAACTAAAGAAACAATGAAAATGTACTGTGATAATAAACATTTAGTTATGTTACAGAATAAACTGAACATAAAGAATATAAATGGCCAACCTGCAAGCACACAAGTTTAGAGTCCCCTTGTATACAGATATTGGTGAATCCTTTTTTAAGAGCATATTTCATTCCCAATATCGCTGCACGATATTCAGCAAAATTGTTTGTTGCTATACCCACGCCTTCACGAACCCTATGAATCTTTAAAGTAATAATAGTTAAAGAGATCACCAATAGTATGAAAATTATGCTTATTCATAGAAACATCAAATGCGTACCACATTCCCATCTTTAGATCGCAGAATAGCACCAGCACCAGCTCTTCCAGGATTTCCTTTTGACGCACCGTCGAACTCAACAATACAAGTCTTCTGCACAAGTATAGATGACTATGAATAAGTATATAAATCATAAAGATTTCATTCAAACTCTAGGAATACAAATCAGCGATAGCAACTAGAGATCCTCAAGTGACCACCCTATAATAGCATGGTTACACAATAGCACCGGCGATTGTTGTAGAAATAGGGGAACCCTGAGTAAAAATAATTTTGCAAAGATGAACATGAGCATTAATATGATTTCTGCTTACATTTGCAAGTGAAGATGCTTCGCCCACGGCAGAACGATCTAACTTGACTTGCTTTCTGAAGGGGTCTTCAGAGATGGATGTCAAACCAATTGATTTCTGCTATGCAATTAAGAAACTTAATTTACACGCAAAAAAGTTGGAATAGTGCAGCCAGTTATGAAGATTCAACACATTAAGAAAAGATACCCAAACTGTGACCGTGACCCTATTCAAACCGCAATACCTTCAGCATGTTTGATTAGAGAAAATGGTTTATGTTTCCATTTCCAGTTTTCATTAATATTCACAAAATTAACCACCTTATTTTCACTTTATTTCCTATTTTCATATATTGGTATTTGCATATGAAACAATGAAAACCTTTTTTTTCTTTTGCTGTTTCTGGAAATAGTGAAATGATAATTAGGCAGTATTTTGTAACTATTAGTAAAAACAATATTCTCCCAAACCAAACAAGTCCTTAATAACTTACACCAACAACATTTTTTCGTATCTTGACTAATATTAAACTCAATGGAGGTTTATAGCTGAAATTGAGAGTATACTTTTTTCGATATGAAAATGATGACAAATTGATGATTTATAACACAACTATCAAACATAAAATCTTAGCATATAAATACATAATCCTGGATCATTGCCTTCCTGATAAGCAAGTTATAAATTCAAAATGGTGCTAAACTTACCACATAATCTTGTCCTAGCACATCTATAGCTCTCTTTTTAGATGTATTGGCACTTGATGTGGTCCCTTTGGTAGAAGAATGTTCCTGAAACACACAGTAAATCTTCTGATTTTCTTCATAAACAAACCCAAAACCACATTAAAGGTATATAAACAAACCTGTTATAAATTCAAAATGGTGCTAAACTTACCACATTATCTTGTCCGAGCACTCCTATAGCTCTCTCTTTAGATGTATCTGCATTTGATATGGTTCCTTTGGTAGAAGAAGGATCCTGAAACACGTAGTGAATCTTCTGATTTTCTTCATAAACAAGCGTAAAACCACATTAAAGGTGTCTAGGGAGAAAGCATATGTCAAGGGAACAGAAATGTGTCAGCTATAAGAAGAATACTATTATCTACTAACTGGTTTTTTTATGATGTAATCATAAAAGAGGTTTTACGAAATTGTAATTATGGAATTGAACCTAGTGCTTGGTGATTGATAATTGAAAAACATATTGAATATTTTAAAGGATTCTATACATGTTGTTTTGCAAGAATATCAAAGTGAAAGGAATTATATTTTCTCTCGTCAATCACCATTATGCTCTGTCAATTTCAACGTGATTTACCTTATCCAAGAGCACATTTTGCGACTAATTCAAAATACTCCTCAATGAAAATCTTCAACTCACAGTTAAGGTCTTAAGAATACAGATATAGATCAAGAAGACGGGCTTATTTTAAACAAGAAAAAAATAAAACCTTTAGAAGTTGATACAAGTTTTCAGAAAATTGAACATCTTCGTTCTTCAACTCACAGATAACATTTTCCCTTCCTATTATTCTAGAGAAGAGATTATTCATCAAAAAAGCAAAAGAAAACACGTTGAAACTGCTATTTACCTGGAAAGGACATGGAGCAAGTGATCCAAACAAATCCTCTTTCAAATCAGAGGCTCTAATTGTGTATAAAGCATTCTTTAGTCCATGCGAGAGAAGATATTCCTCGGTTTCGTTCGACAACGAATATCCCTTAAATACACTAACAGGAGGATCACATACCTAACACAACAGAAACATCAAGATGTCATTTTGAAGATTACTTTATGATTTAGAAACAAGGAAATAGAAACATCAAACACCATAATAATGCTCTCAAATCAATAACTACACATATAACTACAACATCCAATCTAATCAAACAGCTAAGTTTCGGCAATAAAGAAAAATGCAATTTCAATACTAGCAATAGCAACGGAAAGTCATGCCCACAAAGATCATAAGCATAAGAAATGATATTTCAACACACAGATTAAACAATAACTTGGATGGTTATCACACTTGAATTATGTGGTTAATTATATTCAATAGATGGTTAACAATTATAACAAGATGTTGGAATTCATCAATCATCCAGACTATAATTAATCACAATTTATATGAGTTCAAATATACACAGACCATCCAAATTGTGTCCAAGTATACACGATTTTCTGAAGTTCAAACATACATGTCACATGATATCAAATAATCACAATTGTGTTCAAATATACACCTGAAAATCGGGATTATTGTGTTCGGTGAATGGTTAATAAATTTCTAGACCTTGCATATCCATTAACCATGTATGTGAACTGGGTTAAACATCCAAGTTATTGTCTCACTTTGTGTCAAAAGAACACAAGGCTCTAAGAATAATGCAAGTTTACTAATACCACAATCTTTTTTTAATAGAAAATTGTTAGGGGTCAATTATTAGTACATATTATCACCTATGAACACAAGACCCTAATTCTGAATAAATCAAAAATTTTTGAAAAAATAAAGAAATCAAAATAATTTGAATAAATAAATAAATCAAACGTAATCACAAGTGTCCTAGACTCATCCTCGATTTCGAACATTAACAGTGACATGTCAGTGCTACAGAGAACTTGAACCCTATACAGCCAACTCCTTTTAACCCTTAACTCAAGGTTTCAACTAAGGTGAGCTACCACTCTCAGCCACTCATACCACTATCTACATTTTCAACTAAACACTTTTCTGCTCACCTTCAACTTCCATAGTAATAAAAATAAAAACTTTAAACAATGAAAACTGAAAAAAGCACCAAAATTAAGTAAAAGAAAAAAACGAAATTCATAAGAAAATTACAGAAGATCCAACTTGAGCCTGAGAGTCACTGAGACTATTATAAATTCCAACAACATCCCCTTTCCTCACAACATAGAAAGCATCCTTTTCATGATCCATCGTCGTTTCAGGGTGAGAAGAATCACTTTTGCGTGATTTTCTAGTTGAATAGCAGCGAGAGCCTGTCAACGCGAATTCAGACCTAACACAAGAATGGAGTGATTTTATTGGGAACGAGAAATTGGAAGTAGTTCCGTTGAGAGAATTGTTTGAGACGAATCGAGTGGTTCTTCCGAGTATGGTGGCTGTGAATGATGAGAGCTGTGATAACAAACCGTTCATGACAGAAGAGTTATCCAGATTGAATCAGAGTTTTTGTGGTTGTTGTTGAGGAAGTGGAGGAAAAGGAAAATGCATTGTGGAATTTGAATTGCGGAGGTTACTGGTTTAGTAGCTGAATTGGGAGTGAAACATCAAGAAGAATCATGAGCGGGGTTGAGGAATGGTGTTTACTGTTAACCGCTAGGGCCGTGATTTTTCTGTTACTTGATTGGGCTTTTCTTTTGGGCCCTTTTTTTCCGTCTGAAAGGTGTTTTACTATTTGCGCCCAAATGTTTTTTCTAAGACACTCCTAATACCTAACTATCAAAAGCTATTGTTACGTTCTTGAACCGGAATTAGTAAGGATCAATGGTGAATGATCTTTAACATGTAGTAATGATCTCCAATATAGCGGTGGATAGTGGATTTGCAAGATTAGTATTTCAATGTCTAAATTAGTTTAAGATTTAAGATGAGTGTAGTAAAAGTGAATATCATAATAGTATACCTTGTGTGATATGTATGATGGTTTTTATATGTTGGGTCATTTGGAGTGGACTGACATTAGATTGGGTCTTTGTTTTTGGACACTTGATCGACTTAGAACAGTTATCTTCAAGGCTTCTCGATTAGTTACTAGTCCGGGAAGTCTTAGCAGTTGTGGGTGGCCTTTGAGAATGATATTCACTATTGGTCATAAGTGGAAACGCCTTGGATCGATTGCAAAAGTAGTGCGGAACATTTGCATTAAATGATTCCCCATCATTGAAATATTTAGTTGCTTCTCTCGAACTTGTGGCTTGAGGTGACAAGTTAGGGCATGAAACTGCTTATAGTGCACTTGAGTTTGTTTATATTCTCAGAGAGAAATTCAAACATAGATCTAGTAACCTCTCGCTCCAGTTGATATGGTATGTCATCCGTCTTTGCATATATATATAGTGTGTGTGTATGTGTTTTGCATTGGTTAAAGGTCCAATTTATCTCAAATCCACTTCACTTGATCCAAGATATAAAGTGAGTTAACAGAGAAAGCAAGGTATATTCTCTAATCTTCATTTTTCACTACACTCATCTTTAATCTTGAACTTACTTGAGCGCTAGAGTACTAACCTTGCAGGTTCATCTCATGCCACCATATTGGAGATGAGGACCACTAATTCAAAACCTAAAGTTCACCAATCGCACTCAATTATGGTTCCTAGACGGAACAGTGACGCTATTTGTTGGAATTGATTTATGATTCTTGTTTTTTCATGATTTCATATTCGCATTTCAATTCACTAGTGTGTGATCTTCAATGATCACCAATTCAAGAGCGATTAGAATCGATTGTAAAGATCATTTGTGTTTGATCCAATCAATCATCGTTTCAACTATGATTCTTCTAATTTTTTTATCTTTATTTCCCGCGGGAACACCGCGAAGTAAAAGAAAAAATGATCCTAGATCTAAATCCAGATCTACGCCGGAATTATAAAAGAATAGAGGTATCTGCCTTTAAGATCATGCTGAAGACTCTTGATTAACCTTCTGATCTCGCGCTACCTCAATTATCCGTAGATGGTGTGATACTCACCATGACGACTTCAAAGAATTACCATGAGTTGATAAGAAGAATTCGTGAAAATCAATAGAAAATAAGATCTATAATGGCTCCAAAGCTCTCCAAATTCACAGTCAAATACTATGTGTCCTCACTTTATCGCATAGATTTCATTACCATAAAAAAGTAGCCACCTTTTTCTATTTAAAGTTGCAAACGCATGTCAGGTGTTCGCTGCATCGTGATTGTGTTAGGTTGCCTCGCGATCGCGATACTGCTACATCGCCCCCATAAAGAAAGCATCACGATTGCGATAAATCCAGTGGCAAAACTTTTTTTTCTTCATTTTTTCTCTTTTTTTTTGGCAAAATACCCTTTTTTGTCCTTTAACTTTATCTCGAGGTCTATTTTGATCCCTTAATTTTTAAAAGTATCAATGTGGTCCTTTAATTGTTCAAACAGCATCACGTTAGTCCTTTTCGTTTGCTTTTGTTAGTCAAAGTCAAAATTGAAGACATTTGATATACAGCTGGCGTTGATGTGGCATATACCCAAGCACATGGCAGTTACTAGACAACATACTTTACCAATACACCATTTTTCCTTTTATGGTGAATATTACGAAGTATATATATATATATATATATATATATATATATATATATATATATATATATATATATATATATATATATATATATATATATATATATATATATATATATATATATATATATATATATATATATATATATATATATATAAACTGAATTAATTTTTCCTTCTTCCATCTGGGTTTTCAATGTTAGGGTTCCATTGGGCCATCTAGGTACTGAACAATCGAATCTTCTTTTACCGAACTCTTCATTATCATGGACAATTGAATCATACCATTCAAATTCGCCATCGTCATTATCATGAACAATTGAATCTTCTTTCACAAAACACTTCTCCAAGAACGATTTCACAAGATTTGACAAATCCCTTCATATTCATCCTCTTTTTCCTCCTCTTCTTGTTCTCACAAAGATATTGATGATATCATTGATGGTGATGTTGTGCATTTTGGGTTTGTTATGCTTGTTATATTATGAATATTGTTCTCACATGATCAACAACCATTTGGCTCAAATAACAATAACAAGTTGCATAAAGAGAAAAGTCATTAGCTCAGAACTGAAACTCTTTTGGCAATTGATGAACATGCATAACCGCAATGACGCGATTTTGATTTATGTTATCATCTGCTCAAGGGTTAGCAAGTGACATTTCTTTTTTTCTTCTAGTTTTAAATGTAATATTTACCGAAGGATGATACAATTTGAGGTATATTTTGTAAATGATGATATATTATCTATTTTGATGCACATTATCTCTTTGATGAAAAAGACAATGAGAGCTTTTCTTGTTTGTAATTTTCACTACTACGGAAAACTCATTTAACAACAGTTAGGTAAGATATATAATCACGTGGGCCCATGCGTTGTTATGTAGAGTGTGGTTGTATATATGATACTTACAATCACGGCCTAGTAACTGTTGTAATAAATTGGAAAGTGTGTGCCCTATCACAACGAGTTTTTTGAAAGACCGTTGTGATAGATAGTGTACAAGATATTATAATGGTTATGATATATATAACCGTTGTTACATTTTCTGCATAATTAAAAAATATTATCATGTTATTTTAATTAATCCCATTTTTTAACCTGTAATTATTATTCACCATATCACAACAGAAAATACAACTCACATTTATGATAAAGTTATTGTTCTGGACTGGCCAATGACTAGAATTGGTGCAATCCACTTCTAATATCCACATCACCCAACAATGTTGGCCCATTATCTTTGGATCTCCCATCGGTCATCTTGGGTCGACCACACTCCATGAGCGGCAAGACTAATGATCCCTAAGGAACATGCCTACCCACACGGACAGCTACCTCCCGGTCTGCTCGACACACGTAGAGCAGACAACCAGAAAAGCGCTCATGACGCATCTACCTGTAATTTCTTCCTTGCTTGGAGCAACGACTAGTTACGAGCACGACTGCTCTTTTTGACCAAGTCCTGGCAGTTACCTATTTTTGAGGAACCTAGTATCTAGGCCCAAAATTAGGAACCAATGGCCAAGCGTCGGGGGTATTATATAAACCCTCACACTTGTGAGATCCATGTATCCAATATTCACACTCTAAATCCTAATCTCTTTCTTGTATCTCTTTGCACCCATTCTTACTTGATCGTCAAAGTGCCTTGCAGGTACACCCCTTTTCTCCTCCAATTTCTAGCCAAGCAGACGTCATCCTTCGTCCCACTTTTAGGTTCTGATCAACCGTTAAGATCAGTGGCACCGTCTGTGGGAATCCTGTCTTCCCCGTCTTCCTTTACTCGAAACTGAAGATCAAAGAGACATTTAAACACTCCTATATGTAAGAACAAGAAGCTTTTCTACATATGGCCTTAAGATTTTGATGATAAACTTAAATGGTATCATAAATAACAATTGTATACTCTAATAGTTTCGTTCTAGTGTGTAGTTGTTGATGTAATATTCTAACTCTGGCATCAAGGCGTGTGATGTCATCAGGTTCTAAACATGAACACTACTGGAAGAATACATTTGGTTACATGTTATAGTTGAAGTCAAGATTCTGGAATTCGTCTTATGTAACGGTTCTTAGGAACGTTAGTCCAAGAGGTTCTAATCATGACTTTATGGTTAAGCTTTGGAGGCCTTCTAAAGCTTTGCTTCTGTGTGTTCTAAGTTCTGAAGATTATGAAGACGAGGTTCTTCTGAACAAGTTCTAATGATATGAATTACGACCAAGTGTTGAAGACTCTGAACACAAGATTCTGATGGGACAAGTTCTAAAGACTACAAGACTTAGGTTCTAACACTTAAGAGTAATTCTTCTACAACAAGCTTCAAAAATTAAAATTATCTGAAGCCTCTGAAGATTAGAAGAAGTTCAAAATGGTTATCGTGCGATGGTGTACAAAAGGTATAAAAAGTTCTTTGTGACCTCTACCTTCTAGGGTGGCGCAAGGATAATCCTTTCATATTATATTGTGTACCACTCTCATTATGATCGTTGGGAACAAACGGCTAGATTTTCGATTACCTTTCTATCCCTTCAACGGATTTCTTTTACAAGCTATAAAATGAAGACTTGGAAGCTGAAGAAAGTAAGAATCAACATTATAAAGAAAAATCTATCAGATTATATCAAGGTCAAAAAAACTACACCGAAGTGATGTGGAACTCTTTAGAGAAATTTTTTGTACATAGTTTTGTAAATAGGCAAAGAGTTGTTGCTCGTATCTTGTTGTAAAACACTTAGGTGTTTTTCTTTGTATTGTAACGTTTGTGTAATCTGCTTAAAAGAAGCAAATTATAATACACTGAAAGTATTCAACAATTGTTTATTGATTCTTTAAGTGACCAAGTAAAGGTCTGATCTCAAGAAGA